ATACACATGCGCATACACGTACACATACACATCTTACGATATGCAAGTAAATGATATAAACATATACACATACACATCTTATGTAACTTTACCAACAGGTGCAGTATGATATCTATTTCCGACTGAATGGGTAGCCTTACCTTTGCTTGTACATTGGTTTTGTTCTATCGCCGCGTGTTGGTGGCACGCATTGGAATGCGCGATATACGTTGAGATCACCCGCCGACGTGATAGCCAGCAGATGCAGCAACTCTTTTCTCTTGCCCAGGGCAACCAATTTAATCTGCAGCGATGCACAAAAGGTACACCAAAAATTGAATATAATCCCACCTTCACTAAAAATCTAGTAGAAACCCCGGGGGTGTCGAACCGAAACTTGGGACATAAACGTAAAAAACCCCAAACTCACGGTTAAGTTTGACTGTACAAGAAAGTTCTGCACCCCTCCGAGCGACAGTCACCATACCTCCACCACAATAGGCCCATTGGCCTTCGCGTGGGCACTACTCTTCGTCTCAGTACTTTTCTCTGTGGCAGCGTCAGTGTCCTCGTCCATGTCCATCCCAGTATAGCTGTCCGCCAATATTTCGGGACCATCGCAGAAGTTGGGAACTCTGAAGCACTCGACACCCGTTGCCACGTCGTAGGCGGATAGCGTACCCACGGCTGATGTCACAAATAAGTAAGTAGGTATCTGCGTGGGCGGGTTTTCTGCACCCAGGCCTAAAGATTCGGAGCCGGTTTGCCCTGAAGTGGATGCCTAAGTTATTGGTAGGAGATGGGGGCCGGGAAGGGGGGTTAGAGTTTAAATGCAAGTATTCCATGAAGAAAATCGGGAATTGGAATGGGATAGGAGGCATCGAGTAAGGTGCGGTCAATGTTCGACGGCCCAGTCAGATACGGACAAATTTAGTACCGCACTGCCACTGTAAGAAGCGCAGATGCCCAAGATACACTAGCACATCAAAAGAACAAGCCAAAACAACACCACATAGCAGAAATAAGTAAACCAACAAGGTACGTTGGCACACAAACACTCTCTCACGCCCCACACAGTAGACTGTGGCACGTCACAACGTCACAACGTCTGCCAGAGAGCTGTACCGAATCACAATACAGACCAGTTGAACACCCGACGGATAGCCATTGCCATGCCAACCGACCACATGACACGCTGATACACAGATGAAGCATATAATTTCATAATGACGAATATAACCTTAAAATGACGCATATAAACTTAGAACGTAACAGGTTAAAAATATAACACCAGACATTACTATAACCTTATATTGACGCATATAAACATATAACGTAACAGGTTAAAAATACAACACCAGACATTGCTATAACCTTATATTGACGCATATAAGCATATAACGTAACAGGTTAAAAATACAACACCAGACATTGCTATAACCTTATATTGACGTATGTAAACATACAACGTAACAGGTTAAAAATACAACACCAGACATTGCTATAACCATATATTGACGTATATAAACATATAACGTAACAGGTTAAAAATACAACACCAGACATTGCTTTAACCATATATTGACGTATATAAACATATAACGTGACAGGTTAAAAATACAACACCAGACATTGCACGTGTTGTATATCAATCACGACTGATTGGACAGGTTTCTTCGCAATTGTGGTTAGCAACGGCACATGGCAACAGACCGCGCCCAATGCACCTGTCGAAATACCGCAGGACACAGCAACTCAGTATTAAAACCTCAAACCAACCAAACTACAATGTTAAAACCTCAACCCAACCAAACTACACATTGAACCCGGAAACGTCAGATGTTAATAATACAGAAGAAGACACTAAACAGCAGAAATTGAAAGGGAAACAGCTACAAATACGCGGGAGCTGTGCAGCGCTGCAGTTACAAATACGCGGGAGCTATGCAGCGCTGCAGCTACAAATACGCGGGAGCTATGCAGCGCTGCCAAGAGCTGGGACACGGAAACTAGCTGTTCCAAAATGAGTAGCAGACTGCTGAAGTTCCGGAACCTCTAAATACTTAACGGAATACCTTATTATGAAACTTGTCTACATGTAGGCGGGAAGCACCTATATCCATCTAGCTATCGGGCCGGAGTACTTAGAGCCAGCTAAACCTTACAAGCGCACAGACACAATACCTACCCATCCACCTGTCCCCGGTGGATGCACACTATAATCCCTAGACACCCGCCTGCATACACAGAGACCACACTCTCGGACGAACACATATACACAAGTACACAGTTAATTGATTCTACCCACACACACGCATCCGCTGATGTATCTGCACACTTTGCATACACCCATACACAAGTACACAGTTGTTTGGTTCTACCCACACCCACACGCACGCATCAGCTGATGTATCTGCACACCATGCATACACCCATACACAAGTACACAGGTATCTGATTCTACCCACACGCACGCATCAGCTGATGTATCTACGCACCTTTCGTACACACATACACAAGTACACAGTTAATTGATTCTATCCACACGCACGCATCAGCTGATGTATCTGCACACCTTGCGTTTCTTCGTAGGTGTCTCTGCATTCTCCTCCTCATCTGCATCGCTCCCGTACAGATCCGCGTCGTCGTCTTCGTCTGACAGCTCTGCCGCCGGACGCTTGTTCCCTACGCAAACAGAATGTGGGCAAACACAGTATTGTATTGTATTTGGCATGTGAGTATATGCGAAACGAATATGCCGAAACAGAGTGTGTACCCTTATCTTTGGGTGCAGATGTGGGGGGGAAACTCATCTCCATAAGATATCGCGTTGTTCTTGTGTGTTCAGTGTAAACATACGCACTACATACCTAAACATTAGCGTATCATTACGTGCTTGGTTTGTACATACATGCTCATTCATTATGGCACCACTCGTCATCACTCGGCGTGAATATAGATTACACATGGTTTTTATTTGACGGACAACACGTCATTGCCATCGTGAGGCGACCTCGATATGTGTGTATGCATATTTGAATGTATGCATATATATATATACAT